TGTATTTATTTATATGATGATTCGGAGAATTTATTGAAGATTTATTTCAATAAGGAATTAACAAAAGCTGTTGAGATTTGAACCTCAGGTGCCGTAATATTAAAAACACATCAAACGCTAACTAAATCCCCCATAAAACAAATTTGAAGTACATAGTCTGTTTTTTTCATTTTTCCACTTAATTTTCTATCATTCGTACTTTATAATTAAATCTACATTTGCGGTTCATTTATCGGTCACCATTCATTCATTATGACCATTCTTTTCACATTTGAACTGGCCACGGTCGTCGCCATTTAATTATTGTGGTAATTACCGTTTCATTTCCGATAAATTTTATTTTTTATATTTCCTATTTCTATTCACAGGGAAATAACGATTTATATCTAAAACTCACGGAAATCGAAGAAAATATATATTATTTGTACTTCATTCGTTTTGTTAAATTAGAAATAAGAACCGAGAGATATCTTTATAATATATAAACTTGTAAACAATTCCTAGATACTAGAGGTCCCGCAGTAGTCGAAATTCGACTATAATTAATTGGAATTGTAAGTTTGTACACTATTGTGATTGTATTTTATACTTCTGTAATCACAAATTTCGCCAAGACTACACTATAAAAAATATTAACAAAGACAAACAATAATTAATCTATTCTCAATTTGACGTCAGGAACACCAGTTTGACAATAAATACTCGTAGTATGCATGCGTGTGTGCGTCAAATACATGGTATGTAGTGTGTGTAATGTTTTCTTTATTGATTTAATGTATCTTTTATGCATTATTTTAAAAAAATATTAGAATTGTGCACTTCTTCTCTATTTTCTCTATAAGTGTGGAAAATTTCATAATCCTCCGTCCGCGCAATTTTCGTTAAAAGGGATACAAAGTTTTTGCTTCACGTATTAATATATAGATGACGGCGCCTTCAATATAAGATAACGACCTTAAACGCTTCCGCGGTCATAAATGACACACCCTAATATTACTAAGTCTACAGTTTATCGACGGGACCGTGTTTACCTTCTATTATACAATGTATTAGTGCGTGTGAACTGAAAATTTGTACAAATAAACTTGTTATAGTTGTACAAGCACCGAATTTTGCGTAGCAATTACTCACATGATACAAGATGGTACGTAAATAGGAGCCTTATAATAATATCTTGCTTGTAGAACCAGAGCGAGTTGTATAACGAAATTACTTGTGCATTGTTTCTTGTCGAAATTACTCAAATTCGAAAATGTACTTTAAGGAAACTTTATTTACACATTAGAATTAGAATTAGAATTTAGAATATAGAATATAGAATTTAAAATTTAGAATGTAGAAGTTAGAATTTAGAATTAGAATTAGAAATTATACATTCATAGAAGAACACGTGTTCGTTTCGAATACGTTTAAAATAATCTGTTCATTTGTATTTATTATAGATTTTTAATCTTCTTAATGAACCTTATTTCAATGCAAACAAGAAATATTGTTTTACGTTTATGCTCTTTATGATTTAGTCCAGCTGTTTAAAGAGAATTTAAGGATCTTCCGGGCAGCCGTGAGTCATCATAATTAAATCAATATGAGTTAAAACAATGTTAAATAAAATAATCTTATTATCCTACCCTGTACCATATTTGTATTGTATGTATTTGAATTATTGAAAAACAATTTAATCGTCTATAAAACTATAATGTCATGTTTAATATAAGATTTTTTACGACAAAAGATACTCATATTTTTCATAGAATAATCACCGCGAATTATATGAGGCCATCAGCGCAAAAGTGGCCTAAGGTTACCTGATCTTACTATAGTAAGTATGGAGACAACAAGGTCTGAATTTACTTTTACACTGCCTCATAGGCATCAACAAAACGCGCAAAAATAATGTTGACAAAGCCATTTGTTATCTATGGGCGAAACTAGAGATAGGCCGGTTTTGCATCAAAATTTATTATGTTTTAAATAAATTGTAATATAGTAGAACCACGAATATGAAAAAAAATTGAATAGGCCACTTTTATGCTGACGGCCTCATATCTACGTATACGTAATCTTTTAAAACGTTAGTTATGATAAATTTAAATATGAATAGTATTAATTTAGACGTATGTTCATCATGGTTCAAAGTGGCTAATGCTCATTCAACTTATGTGAGCTCTGGTAAGGCTGCCCAACTCAGCTTTATTATTACGCTGTATAAAGATTTAATTTAAAGCATTACAATAGAATACATTGTTTGTGAAATTAATTTAAAAATATATATTCAAATATAACCAGCCCCATTAAAACTGACTAACAAAACGAAATAAAAATTAAATTTCAAACTTTCGAAGAGTACCGAGAATAAGCAGTTACATATAAATAATAAATTATAATTGTAGCGATTACGGAACACATCAGTTAATTTTGTACTTACTATGTTTGACAAATACAGGTCTTGTGTCGTGAATTTTCAATGACGTGCTACACAATTAAATTAGTAGCTTCGACTTTATTGTTGTAAGCTTGTGATTTGTATTTCCAAAAGGTTCTTGTTTTCATTTGTAACTTTTTGAAAGTCTTCAATTAAGTTCTTGAAATTGACTTTCAATTGAATTTAAGTTTCAGTCAATTTCCATTGAATCTTTAATTTAAAATTGAATCGAAGGAGATGTCCAAAAGTACCAGTAATAAGTTGCTAGAACCAATAGGTACATAATATTCACGCCGCAAATCGCCTTGAAATCCGAGGCTAAAGTCTTCAAATGAATGCACTTTATTTCACGAAAGAAATAGGCAAGTACCCGCAAATGCGGGATTGATTTTGATATGGTCTATTGTCTCATTAGGTGAAGTTGTTGATCATGACGTATTTATTATAAATGATAAATGGTATCTTTCACATTTGAAGCCTGTCATAATCGCATTAGTCGAATAATCTGGACATATTTGGACGACGGATGATTTTCTTACTTTTCGAGACCTCAATCATTCACAAGAAGGAGAAGGAGTGCCTAATAAACGACAGGCTACAAAACTTTAAGCCAAATCAAATTGAAACATTATATCCTAACCTATATAATTACAACTATATTTTTGTAAATCAATTTCGTTTGATAAAGCAGACTACCAATTTAGCACTGAAGTATGAAACCTATAGGTCTATGGAATTTAGTTACCACTTAATTGACATGATCCATGACAGATAGACGTAACTAAAACATGACATCTGCCATTTTGTGTCTGGTACAGAAAAAAATGGCTATTTTTATAGTTCATACCGGGTGTAGGATTGTGTTCACGAACAAAGATTTGGTGGCACTGGACTCAAAGTTAAACATGAAAAGCGGTAATAAAATGCTATTTATAGGCCCGCGATTGAGTTTGTAATTTAAAACTAAGCTGATACTCATAGGGGCGTTCACCTATCTTCGTTTTTGTGTGTGAGTCCAATAAACCTTCCCAAAATTTTAGTTTTCAAATGAAGATAGGCAAGCTGATGATTCGGGACGCATTTTCATAAAAAAATCTTTATAGATTTGTCAACTACCGCCTTGTAAACAGCAGGCAATCTAACGTAATTAAAAACAGCTGACGCTGACAAGTGCATTGGCTGGTTTGCTGTCTTCGTTGCGGGCTTAGAAGGTATTAATATCTTAAAACGATTTGTATTGGCTCTCATGTAATATTTTCCTCAGTTTTACTTTCCTCATATTTTATTTTTCCTTATTCTGTAGATGAATTTATACTTGGATCGATTTGAAGGCTTTTGTTGAGTGCTTGCTTTCTACTTGCGTTTCAATGTGGTTTACGGTATTAAAATCGATATCATTAGTTCTACATATCACTGATTTCAGAAGTACTGCTTCGTTAGGTACCGAAGCGAGCATTTTTTCTTTGTTATAGAACAAATGTCAGTTTTTTTTAAATGTCATGTTTCCAACTGGTAGGTGTCTACGGAGATTACGAGGAAATTATTTGATATGTCACAATTTATATGAATATTTTCTTGAGATTGCTTACGAAATTCTCAGCGAGAGCGTTAAATTTCAATATTGAACATTGCGTTTTTCACTCCGTTAGTCAACGAAATGAAATGCTCGAAAATAAATTTTCAGCGAAATATCCTCCTGTGATATTTTGAAGAATCCGGATTAAGTTGCTACAGTTTAATTCCATCTTTTTTATTTTGTTCAAAATGTAATTAGAGCATTCGTTGTGTCCGCAATAATTAAGCCGATGTTTCTTGGTGTCAAAACTCTCGTAATGATGATATAAACGGCAATATTATACAAAATTCTTATCTAAATTTCTTAGTTGATTAGACCATAACTATACTGTTATTGAGATTAGAAAGCGAAGTGACGTAAAGTTTGGTCAGGATAGCTCATGTACTCATAGATTCAAAGGCTTATATTAGCTTCAGGACATTCTTTATAGATACAATACTATTGTTCTATATTCAGCTTCCTTAAGTATCGTGTTAATGTCTTGTAACAAAATTCTGTAATTATGTTTATATGAAGAAGATCCTAATTCCGACCGTGTTAGAAACCACTAACGATTTAAAGTAATTCGCTAACAATGACACGATCACAGTCTATTAGATTTTTATTTCTTCTAACGAGATCTTCATAGTGTTTTGTAAGTAGTCTTAACGATCACTGATTCGGAGTGCCGTATTACCATTCAAATATACGACCGCTCTGATCCCGGGTAATAGGGATAATAGATTCTATTCCAGTGGCTTGTGCGATGGTAAAAAGGAGATTATGGGATCCTATCAGCGGGTCATCTGAGTTCCTTCAATGGGACATACTTTACACAACAGAGAGATAACTCAAGGCTAAAAATAACAATGGATTAATACTAAAAAATAACGATGCTAAAAATGGATTGGGAGAGGCCTATTTCCAGAAGTGGACGACTGTGGGCTGTTGATAATGATGATGATGATGAAAATAACTAAATGAAACAAATATCTTACCTGAATATGTTATTATAATACTTACATCTCAACACGCTCCACTTTGATCCCCCAAGCCTCGGTGGCCTCATCCAGTGACAGCTGCATGTTGCCAGAGATCGTTTCGCGCTCACTCAAGATCTCGTGCAGAGGTCGAGTGCCCATTGTATTCCTCAAGGTCGTCTGAGCCAAGAGCCTGGTGGAGTGGTGAGCGTTCTCCACGTTGGCGATAGAGATAGTCGCGTTGTGGACGCGGTAGTATACGACGGCGTCCACGGAAACAGTAACAGAATCTTTGGTCAGCACCTGGTGTTTACAGTAATGTTTAGCACAGATGTTTTTCGACCATTTGAAAAGAGACCAGTAGACGAACGAGCTTTAGCCATTTGAATTCCGCCAGTCACCTTGTGATATGAAATCGAGACCTTAATAGTATTGTGGAGCTTTTCTATCCTTCAAACCACTTTCGATGACCCTGTGCAGTTTTTCAACCGTCGTGGTCTAAAGGATAAGACACCGGTGTTCGAATCCTGCAGGCAGGTACTTAATAATTTTTCTAATAAAATATGTACTTAACAATTGTTCACGATTGACTTTCACGGTGAAGGAATAACATCGTGTACCTAATAAAAATCAAAACCCACAAAATTATAATTTGTTTAATTTCTGGTGGTAGGACGTCTTGTGAGTAGTTCCCACGATTCTGCCTATTTCTGCAGTGAAGCAGTAATGCTTTTCAGTTGGAAGGGAGGGGCAGCCGTTGTACTGTAAAAAAACCTTAGAACTTATGACTCGAGGTGGGTGGCGGCATTTACGTCGTAGGGGTATGGGCTCCGGTAACCATTTAACACCAGGTGGGCTGATAAAAATATACCCGGGCTGAGCGCTTGTGTTCAGCAGTTCATTCTGGTGAATCTGGAAATGTTAATGGACTACAAATAATAATTCCTCTAGATGAAATAGGCAATAAAGTATCAAAATTAATAGGCGTGCGTTAGTTGTTCCCTCATCATGGAAGCCGTTCATGAATACTTGGTAAGGACCAATTTATTTAGAAAAAAAGGGCTGGTCAGATAGGCCTAGCGCTTGGATCCTCAATACGAGTTTGGAACATTTAGGACAGGTTACAGTCGCTTCCTCATTTACTTATAAGTATCTAACACAACAAAATTGTATACAATTTTTTTTATCCATGACTTTATTATAAACTTAACACTAAAACATATGATCTCTGTTAATGATAGGAAAACAGACCGCGGCACAATATGCCTCCAGGCTTAGTGGGTCAAGCTATCGATACATTTTTCATGCGAGTTAAAACTTCATGAGCCCATCGCTTAGCCATCAAATCGATAACTGACCCGAATGACCCTTTTCTGTCATTGTATTAGAAATAGTTATGCGGACGTTGTAAAGTAATAAGCATGCCGAGGGGAATCCATAAAGTGAAAAGGGGTGTATACTCCGTTTGAAGTTGTTCCGTATTGTCGAAATTGATATTAAGGCAATTGACAATTTATTAAGGTAACAAATTGATGAATTGTTAATTGACCGATATTCGTTTACAATTAAATAATCTATTAGTATTAATAATTAAATTGCGGAGTTTTATTAAAGACTGAAGTAGTTCACACAAAAAAAAACAGTACGTATTTAAGGTGTTTGCCTATTAATGAAAATCTGTATAGGAAAAGCACTTACTTCTTGCGGTGGAACATCATAGGTACGTGTGCGTAGGTCGACTCGGGCGTACGTGTCAATGCAGGGCAGGATGAAGAATATTCCTGTACATGTTAAGAAAAAAAGTAATTCTTATCTATACAAGTAAATAAAATTGTATTTGAAGTCTCTGATGTTGAAGTGAAGCTTATAGTATTGTTCAAGAGTCGACAGTCGAGAGAAATTTCAGAACAAAACCACCACCATTAAGGTGATGTTTATCTTTACGTATTTTTTTTTCCTGGGTGGGGAGAAACCTCCTACGAGATCCCCGTATCTAAGGGGAGCGTGGGGTTTGTAGGACTAGTCCGCGACTGCGAACCGCGGGCCCAAGGAAATTTTAAGGGGCCCTACCGTACTAAACGACAACTGCTACCTTCCCTGCCATAACTTTCCTTCATTCTCATTTAAATACTGAAATTAAAACCAATTAATTTATTGAGTTCGAAGTATTGAGGGATGAGACGTGAAATTTAAAAAAAAACAGAGATACGGGTGTTTTTGAAAGAATAATATATTATGTTGTTAACACGTAAATATCGGATTGAAAAAGGTTAGTTAAAAATAATTACGCGTAAAAAACAACAGAAGTCTGTGTTTTACAATATTGAGTCAATAAAGATTAAGAGAGCCTTTGTTTCGAAGAAGGTGGCTTTGCAAGACTAGATTACCATTTCGATGAGCTTATTTTTCACTGGATTTACGTTTTGTAGGAATTCTTTTACCAGTACTATCAAATCATTATTTTGTTGACGAAGAGGTTAGTGCACCCTAAGTGTTGTTGTTGATGGTCTCACCATCATAAAGGTAGTTGATACGATCAATCACCGCCACAAAATTTTCCGACACATTCGGGTCTAATACAAAAATAAAAGTGTCAGTGTAATCAATTGTTAGTACGTAGTTATTCGGAAGTAAATAAATAGTCACGGTACAGACTATTGTTGTTCAATCATCATAAGAAAATCAAAATACAGTTTTCATTTCAGACTTTGGGTATTTTATAATTTCCTTCAATTAATTAACTTCTTTTGATTACGTTGTTACGTTGTTAAATTTACTCATGGTTTGATGCGTAAAATATTTTTCAGCATGCCCAAATCATTATTTTTTGTTGTCCTTTGTAATATTAATTTTCCTATTTAATGAATATTATGAAACAAAAAACTCTGTTAGAAATAAGGATTAACTTATTTTATAGAATTTTAGATAGCTGTCGATCATAATTTGGTGGTTCTAAAAATGGACTGTCAATTTTATTCCTTAAAAAGAATAAATATAACGACGCTTGTGCTTGTTCAACAGAATCTCTTTGAGATTATGGCTCTTGATATTTTTGGTTGAATTATGTTAGAACTATACAAAAAAGGTGAGCGATAACTAAGAAAACATCGGTGATCCGTGATGAAACAAAGTAAAAGTAAATCAAAAATATTAGCATTATTGAAGATAAGCGCGCTTTCTTGGTTTATTTAATGGAGAAATACTAACCGGGTCCCTTGGCACCTCCAGACAGTAAACGACCCAAGCGAAAAATTACAGCTCTTTCATATTCTTGCACCACCTGTTGGCAATAAAAATAATTTAAACAAAATAAAGCTATTCCTGAGCCATAAGCTAAAGATGTTTCTCTAATTGAATCACCTGATCTAAATTGGAGAAATATTGAGCATTTGTCTTTAAAGCGCGTCGCGAAATATTCGTAATAATTCTTTGATTTTAATTATTTTATTATCTTTCTTGTACAGTTGGTATTAAGGCGTTATTGTGTTATTGGTTTTATTGGTGGTAGGACCTCTTGTGAGTCCGCGCGGGTAGGTACCACCACCCTGCCTATTTTTGCCGTGAAGCATTAATGCGTTTCAGTTTGAAGGGTGGGGCAGCCGTTGTAACTATACTGAGACCTTAGAACTCATATCTCAAGGTGGGTGGCGCATTTACGTTCTAGATGTCTATGGGCTCCAGTAACCACTTAACACCGGGTGGGCTGTAGCTCACACGTCTACCCATCTAAGTTATAACAAAAAAAAAAAAAAAACATCATGGCCGTCGGCTATCTTGAGATATGACGTTAAAGTCTCATTTTTATTTCACAAAGGCTGCCACAATCTTCAAATCGAAAGAGATATGTAATTACTTCGCGGTATTAAGGGATGGAAATCTGATGAAAACCTTGTTAAATATATAGATTATATATTTACTGGTAAAAATTAAGGAATGTCCAATTTGTCCTTCATTATTTAGAGCATTAATTCTGTAAATAAGTAGATAATTCATCATCATTATCGATTCATGTGTCTGTACGGTGCATCACGAACCTAACTGCTCTCGATTTTATTTGTTACTAGCGGACCCGGCGAACTTTGTTCCGCCACACAGTTTGTTTTAAACACGTCAACTTCAAAGTTCAACTATAATTAACCATAGAATATATTTCGTGTAGCTGTCAGTTGCGTTTTGTTATTACATATCAGTTGCGTTTTGTTATACCACGTTTTATGACACGTCCCAATGGGAACGTGATAAAAAAAGTATCCTATGTCCTTCTCCTGGTTCTAAGCTACCTCCTCACCAATTTTCAGCCAAATCAGTTCTGCCGTTCTTGAGTTATAAATAGTGTAACTAACACGACTTTCTTTTATATATATATAAGATTTCAGATTAATAATTAGAACATAATATTCCGCATTACTCGATCAATTTCAAAACTATCCTTTATATGCGCCTTGTATCGTCTACAAACTATTTACGTCCACTAATCGGAGTTTTACATTTAAATTGTATTACAGAACTTCTTTAGAGTCAGGTAAGAGAAAATAATTTATTTGCGTTTGCATAATGAAGTCTAGCACAAACAAACCACTGGCTCGACTATGAAGATCCCTTTTATATCCCTAACAACTCAATTTATTATGGAAACCAATGTTTTCTTTCCTACGCTTTTTTTTGCAGATAAAGTCACTAGAATTCTTATTTATATTTTCACTGAAGATTTGTTTAATTTCCTAGTATCTCGTGATCTTACGGAATCCCCGAGGGTCTCTGCAAGTGGATCGCTAGCTTTTTGAATGGGCGGAGCATCACGGTCGTTGTAGACGGTGACTGTTCTGATACCATGACCATTAACGCTGGCGTTCCACAAGGTTCGGTGCTCTCCCCCACGCTTTTCATCCTGTATATCAATGACATGCTGTCTATTGATGGCATGCATTGCTATGCAGATGATAGCACGGGGGATGCGCGATATATCGGCCATCAGAGTCTCTCTCGGAGCGTGGTGCAAGAGAGACGATCAAAACTTGTGTCTGAAGTGGAGAACTCTCTGGGGCGAGTCTCCGAATGGGGTGAATTGAACTTGGTTCAATTCAACCCGATAAAGACACAAGTTTGCGCGTTCACTGCGAAGAAGGACCCCTTTGTCATGGCGCCGCAATTCCAAGGAGTATCCCTGCAACCTTCCGAGAGTATCGGGATACTTGGGGTCGAC